GGGTCAGGTCCTGGAAAAAACAGCCAGTGCAGGGTGGGCTGCTGTGTGTGACAATATAGACACATAACTGAAATGGAAAAATCATCCCTAAGAGCAGAAAGACAAGTTCAGTTATGCAACACACTCTGTTTATACGGCACAGGGAAAGTTTGTACTCCCACCTGATTTCCTGAGGATTGCCTTACACAACACCAGCACAACATGGCCCACTTGTGAGCACAGTATAAATAAGTCCCAAAGAGAACTGTCCTATTGTTCCTGCCCTCCCTGCCAAGGCTTCAGTCACCACAAAAGCATGGCATCTCTCCTGATCCAAGCTGGTTACATTTTGAAATGTTTTCTGGTAACTTAGAGCAAGAAGTTCAGGGAAACGAACAGAATTTGACTTCCTAGGAAGCTTAAGCATGTGCCTGGCTGGCTTTGGTTTCTAAGAGGCAAGTTCACCTGTGCATTTCCTACAGCAGGGCAACAGTCCACACAGACTAATGCTCATAAAACGTTACTGGAAAAAAGGAAGCTCTGTTCTATCTCCTAGTCAGACCTCACTGAGGATGAATCAGTGTTGTGGTGTTCTGCTGATTGAAACATGGCTTGAATAAAGAAAATCTAGGTGACAATCCTATAGTTGGGTTTAGGGCTGTAACCAGAGGGGGTTAAAGGCCCACTCTCAGGGGCAAAGCATGAATGGGGTACTGGGTAACACCTCTTGTGGCATGGACCACTTGGAGTACAAGAAAGCTTCAGCTAGGGATGTTTCAGCTCAAATGCTGTTACACAATCTCCTTTTTACTTGGTTATTTTTTATCAAATCCATAAGAACCCCACTCTTTGGGATGCCTTCCTCTCATCCCTACCCAAATGTGACTGAAATTAGCCAACAGGTTCTGAAAGTTGAGGGAAACTAAGGACAGATGTGTATAAAGTGATGGTTTTTCCACAGTAAATCAAGCTAAACACTTTTCACAATTGAAATATGCAGAAAGCATCACAGAGTTATCCTGTAAAATGGGAGAGCTCAAAAGACAGCTTGGTTACAAATATGGCAATAGGCCAGCTCAACAATTATTGAAGAGCAAGGATGCCAGGAGGCTGAAAGAACAGCAACAAAACCTCACACTTACAACAGAAGAGGAAACAAATACAAAAGCCAAGTAAGAGGCAGGGAGAAGCTACAGTAATAAAAATACTACTAATAAACTCCCACCCTTGATAATCTAACTGAATTCAGCTGTTTTGAAATTATCTTCTTGACATAGGTTTTTGTGCAGGCAGTCAAGCTTCTAACATCAGTTTCCTAAATCACAACAAACACAGGATAAAGCATTATGAACCATTTTTCACCTAATCCATTTTTTACAAAAATACTGGCTGTCCCCTGAGGGAAAAGCAAATGATGAAACAGCTGAGAAAAAGACAACTCATTTGCTTTGTTTATTTCCCTCCCTACTTCTGATCTACTTTAAAAATAGGTGAACTGGATCCAGAAAACCAAAGGATTGTCCCAGCATGCAGAATTGTTCTTTTTCAAAGAGTTGTTGGGAAGTTGTAAAGAGAAATCAATACAATCAATTGTGAACAGTTTGGTTCTCACTGAGGAAGGATTCCCCAGGTCCTGGATTGTGATATAGGAAATCACACCAGGATTATGCAATCTGCTAGGAGCATGGACTGAACACTAGAGATAGTTTGCTCGAAAGCAAAAAGGATCATCACAGTTTTTAGGAGAGCTATTATTTAAAACAGGCCTTGGAAGTTTATTTCCACTGTCCAATTCTTCACAGCAGGTTGGTTCACATGTCCTCAACTTTTCACCACTACAAGTGACTTTAAGGATGAGGTTTACCAAAAAATTGATGGTAATATAAAAATAACTGGTAATATAAAAATAACTATTCATATAAATGTAAAAAGTTACTCTCAGATCCCTTTGTTCTGCCTTGTATTTTCAGCACTTGGATACATGCTCCTTCCAGTGAAAGACTGGGCTAGCATTTTACTACAGCTTCTGATTTCATAGACCAGGGCACGAGGCCATATTGAAACCCAGGAAGGGATTTCTAGTCCATATTTTAGAATATACAAGAGCTTGAGAGGCAAAGGGTATGCTGTCTAAATACTATTACTTATTTTCATTCCTTCAGGGAGAGGGCACCAGTTTTGAAATCTGAAGCAAAGAAAACCAACTGTCTGCAAAGTGAATGTTTATTCAGAATTTTCCTTTCCACCCATTAACCTGAAAATGGGAAATATAATGAATGAGAAAACAATCCATTAGTTTAAGGTCAAAACACAGACCTATTAAAAAAAAAAAAAAAGTAAATAAAAGGGGAGTGCTTTGTGCCGCATCTGTCCTTGCCCAATGATGTGCATTTTAATTTATGGCTATTCAGACTTGTTTCTTCAGAATGTGACATATCCAATGCTAAGCTTGTTTTTGTCACTCATTTTTTGTATGGCATGAGGAATATTATTTTAATTTTTTGCTTCATTACCCTCATAATGAACAAGCCCATGGAACTCCCTTAAAACAATATTGTATTAGCAACATTAGTGAGTCAAACACTAGGCAGGAATACCCACAGCTTCCCAAATTAATGAAATTATATTTGGAAGCACCAACAAACTTGAAATTTTATACTGAACATCAATCTCTGCTTGTGACTGGAGCAAAGTCTTGGTGGCAGGAGAAGAGACTGCAGGAACACTGTGGTGCTCCTCACGCCTTCTCTTAAGGCACTCAGAGCTGACTTTGAGCACAGACTGGGTGCTGCACAATTAGACAAGCCAAGGGCCCCAGTTAATGTGGCAGTTCCTGTTTGGCCTGTGCTTTGCAAAGTGCCCTGAATGGAGACACCAGCACATGAAGCATCAGGAGAGTAACACTCTGGATGCCAGTGCAGGCATTTCAGACAGCAGCATGCCAAATTTTCAGAAGCATAAGAAAATACAAGTCCCGTTCTGCAGACAAACCCATTGTAAGACTGTTTCCTCTGTTTGGCTTTCAGAGAGAAAACTGGATCTCCAGACAGACTGAGCCCACGATGAATTTAAGCTTCTTGCTATGTATGGAAAGTAAAACTGACCTGATCACACACAGCTCAAAGTGCTGATCTTAGTGATATTCTCTTTTTCCAAGTACAGGCTATAGTTTGTTACATTTTTTTTTTTTCACAGAACGTCAAACTGTACACTTACTCACTGGTGTAAATAACACACACTGGAAAGAAAAACAAGAGAGAGGAAGAGACTCAGCTTGGAAAAAGAACCACCAATTTTCGTTTCAAATGTAGCTGAACAGAAGACTTGAGAGGGAACAGATTAATTATTACAACTGCTAAACCAGGACTTCACTATAAAGTTATCATGTCCAGATGTTCTTTTTGCCTTTGACAGGTTTTGAGGTTTTACTTACAAAAATACAGACATACATCTATTCTAAGGGCATCTACATGCATTTAAAATGCCTGTAATACCATTATGAATGGTATGCATTCTGCACTCCCATTCGCCTGCAAAATGAGGAATATGGTGATGGGGCTAAAAATGTTTGTTTAAACAAAGAATATATAGTTTACCAGTAGTATTAACATATGCATTCTGTTTATGCATTATAGTTTACAAGTAGTATTAACAGATGCATTCAGTGGTTATTCCAGCAACACTGCAGTAGTTTTTTTGCCTACAAGTTGTAATACTGTCCCAGATGATGAGTTCAAATCCACACAAAATTTGTGCATATTAGATGTGTATTATTGACACTTCTTAATGTACACCGTATCTTTTAAAAATTCATTGCTGTTGGAAGCTTTTAAAAATAAAAGTCTTAAAAATGGACTTTTTCCCTTGAAAGTATTACATATATCTGATTACTGTGCTGCCAAGCTGAAATAGTCCCTCCATTTTCTGTTCCAAAACAGATGGCAAATAATGAGCACCTTGGAATATTCTCCGCTCGCGGTATTCAGCTTGCGGTTCAGGACTTTCCAGCCTTCTGGGTCAGCACACATCTCTAGAAAACTGCTGCACATCAAGGAGCACCAGCACAGCTGACATAATTCAGCCTCAAACCAACCTTCCCACACTTAAAAGCTCCTTGTGTCAGCTGAAGCATCTGGGATTTGACTTTGGCTTAAGAGCAAAGGGATGTGTTTAGGAGCAGAAGAGCCTAAAGTGTTCGGAGCTTCAAAGGCAGCAGAAGCACTATGGATGCTGAGACACTGAATGTAAAAAGGGATGGTTTTAGCTTTTTTCCCCCCAGTTCCTCACAATTCAGACATTTAGATTTAGTTACCACTCAACTGGGAGAGGAGACAAAGTGGCAAGATATTTAATGTTTCTGCAAGTTTACCAACACTGCAGTGCTCCACAGTAAACAGTGATCCTGAAAAGATCATCCAATTCCTAAGCAGTTAAACTCATAATCTCTATTAATGAAACTGTTATTCTGTGACATAATTACTGACTAATTATCCCTTATTTTAACAAGTGTCTGTAGGTCAGAGGCTTTCTTTTCCATTCCACATAAAAGTGCATCTGCAGTGGTGTAAAAGACAATTGATATTAGAATTTTTTTTCAAAGTTTCTTCAGAATGCTAAACAACTGACGCTATACCTTCTTTAATGTCTTTTGTTAACCTTGCTTGTTTCTTTAGAAAAATAATAAACTACTATGTCTCAATTCAACTCTTTAAATCATGCTACTTCTTTACATAGGTCTCTTTCAGTTCAAATGGATCAAACATACAATTCACATTAATTTCAGTCTTCTTTAGATTTGCTTCTTAGAACAGTGGCTATGGGGTACTCAGTTCTCCTGTAGTCACAGTGCCACCATGGGTTAACTTTAACTCCAAACCTCAATTTCCAAAACTCTCCCCTTAGGCTAGCAGGGTGATACAACTTCAGCAAAGTTAGTTCTGGAGAAAACATGAATTGCAGAGGCTTTGAAAGAATTTTCATTTTGTTTAGGACAAGATATAGGAATAAAATGAAACCATAACTTTGGTTTACAAAGTATAGCTTTTATTTTACAGACTGCTTAAATGAGTTTTCAAATATAGATTTTAAAAAGTCATGAGTCTTTCAATATATACATTCTGAAATAACATTATCACACTTACATTTGAAATACTTATTGCTAATATGTTAATATTTTTGTATTTTACCAAGTGTTACCTATGAAGAACATTTTTAAGTGTTCAATAGTAATTAACCCATCATTGAAATACCATCTCTCAGCATTCTCTAGTGCATAAATGCTTTTGTAGGGATTCAGGAATTATTCTGATTTACAGGTTATGGAAAGCATAAATATGTCTGCTAGGCTGAAATGGGAGCCACGTTTAAGTCACAGGAAAAAAAAAGCATTAACCTAATGAACCTACTGAAGTGGCACAAATAACTAAGAGAGAAGGTATTGATTCAGTCATAAAGGCTAACAAACTTACACACTTGGAGATTCAGTTTTAGTCTTCTCTTGGTCACAGCAAGAATGTGAAACACCAGAAAGTTAATGACTGCATGGCACACAGCATTCTGGTATAATCACAACAATCTGGGGAATTCAAACAGATTGCAAAGGATTTCATGCGGAACAAACGGCATTAAAGAAGATTCTTTAATGAAATGTAATTTTTGAGTCACAGAGTACATCAAGTAATTTTGAGGGGAATCTTCAGGGCACATCTTCAGGCATTTTTTTATATTGTTCTCAATGAGTGCCTCAAGAGGTGCAAAGGTAGTTTTATCCTTATACAACCTGAATTTTAGCTTCTTTGCTGAAATTACCAGCAAAGGCACCAAACTGGAGGCAATTTCTCACCCTAAGCAAACTGTTCAGCCACAGCTTCTTTCGAGTAAGGCCAATGAAGTCAGAAAATGGTTTCAACTGACCCACATAGCAGAATCTCACAATCTCATACTCCATTAATGATCTCCCAGTCCCTTGCCTTTTTCTTTTCCCAGTGTCATTTTCAAACCAGCCTTGTCACGTTTGTACCTTTCTATAACATGCAACCTGAACTGGATAAATCAACCCTTCAAGAGTAGGAGTTCCTTTAACAGCTTCATACAGACTCTAATGCGGCACTGAATAGCAGTATATGCTTTGAAAATAGATTCAAAATGGGGTTTAATATATTTTACACTTGTATTTTAGTTCTTCTCAAATCTGAGTATCACTGATTTGCAATCACCATAAGAGAGCTGACTTATTTGTAATTCTTGTTGCACCACTGCAAACACAGGATATTGCCAAAAAGGTACAGTTTATCAGTGAAACGCTTTCATTTTCCAAAGTTAATTTACCTTTAAGTTATGAGGCAGAAAGAAGGCAATGTAGGTTAAATGTGTTACTCAGAAAATATAACAATGACCAGAAAGGAGTTTTAGAGAAATGGAGGTTTAGAGTTGTGGAATTCTTAGAGCCCAATGGAGTAATTTCAGCAGAACCAGAAATGAATCCGACATGATGCAGCATAAAAACTGCAAGGATCTCATGATTCATTTTCATGGGGGAAGGGTTCAGGTCAAAATATGCTGCCTGTTCAAACTTTCCAGATCAGAACATGGAGGATCTTAGTTCTTAAAAACGCCATCAGACAAACCATGTCATCCGTGTGATCCACACAAAACCATTGTCTGCCAAAGCTCCAAACACATGAGCACTTAACAAAGGTTTCCAAAGGCTGGAATCAGTCTCTTCAGTCACTGAATGAAGATTCACTATCAGAACTCTCTTCTGCTTTGCCATCATCTCCCCAGGCAGGCACAGGGGCATCTGGGGTCCTGCAGGAACAAAAACATTCTGTGCTGTAAATCCAGCTGAGAGCACAAGCGGCTCAGCACGTAACACGGCTGTCCTTGCACGACAACCACAGGCACTTTATTGCCACAACATTTAACACATCAGCTGTTTATGGCTCACAAACTCACACCTTGGTGGTATTGCTTCACCTACAACTGGAAGGCAAACACTAGAAACTGTAACTCACTGGACATCAAAACTCTGCAGACACCAGAGTGAATGCACGCCTTTGATGCCATCAGAAATGATGACAGATCGTTAAGAAGTGGCAAACACTTGTAGAAAGAGTTGAAAGCAGGCAATAATGATTAATTCAATTTTTTTTTCAATCTTCAGAGGTTGTTGGGCTGAAAGGAACATTCTGTACACTACTGAGCAGTGTAAATAGTACATGAAAAAAATAAGACAGGAAATGAACAATATTGTATCCAACTAAAACTGCAGGGATAATTTAGTGAAGCAAAAAAGAATTACTCAGAGTGGAATTTGGCTAGAACATTGGGTTAAATTTGACATGCAAGAGCAGCCATGGGATTTTTATTGACTACAAATGATCAGACCTCTTGTATTTAGTTTTAAAGAGATTGTTTAGGATGGATCTTAACACTGTGGCAAAATGTTTGCTTGGGAAATCTACTGGAAATGAAGTTGAGAGAAGCAAGCCATCTAAAGACTAACTAACATTACTGTCTGAAGATGCTGGCTCTCCATGGACTCTCCCTCCTAAGTATGTAATGAATTTGACATTCAAGCAATACAGAGCCTGATAAAGGCTGAAAGAGAAGTATAAAATACAAACATAATTATACTTGGGGGAAAATGACATTCAGAGAACCTCACTTCCTGTATGATAGCTAACATCTCTTGGATAAAATATTGCATTTTAAAGTAAGCTGACAGTTGTATTAATCATCCTGTTCTTATTTATCTTGGGAGTATAGAATTTCTTTTCCAATATTAGTTCTGTTTAGTGTAATTTCTCTGCTGGGAATCCCTTAGGTAACTTTAAAGTGTTCCTAAACATTTTTGGTGCAAAGATGAGAAGTGTGTGAAAGAGCTGCAGAAGAGCCTTCTCCCTCCCCACTGCACACCTCTAAAACAAGTGAAGAAAGCATTTGCTTTCTCATGCAAATACCACTTCACAATATTATTCCTTGTTGCTGTGGTAATGACAAAACAGAAGAGCTGTGCAAAGACGTGATCTGCAGAGACCAGTGCAAAACCTCTCATTTGTCAAGAAGAGGAAGATGATGCTGAATTCCTTTAGCTCATGAGAGCAGGACAAACTCTTCTGGAACTGAAGATAGGCAAGAGAGGAAGAAACAAAGTAAGAAATAACAAAATAAGAAACAAAATACGAAACAAAAATTGAAGATAGGTAAATTGGGAGCTTGATAGAACAGGCAGTTAACAAATGCTGTAGAAAGTTGAGAGGTGGAAAAGCCAAGAGGAGAGTGTAGAAACAATACTGTAATCATTAGAATTAGCACACCCACAGCCACAAATAACCCATGCTCAGCCAATGGCAAGGAGCTGGGGCAGTCTGCAGTGAGTGACTGAGCACGCAGCCATGTGCACATTTTCCTAATTTTCTCTGGGACTGAGTGAGCAGGCCCAAGGAAGCTGAAGACCCAAGAAATGCAGTGTGGATGGCAAGACACATATAAAAGAAGAAGCCTACAATCAAGAATATTGAAAAGTCACCCCTGATACCTTAACATGTTCCACATTATGCACCTTGCCAAATAATTAGCTTTCTGTAACTAGTTTTCAAACCAGTAACATTTTAAAGAAAATTTGACTAAGCGTTACTGTTGCACAGATCTTTGAAGATGGATTTTGAGATCTAACCCCAAACATATTCTGTGAGCCTCAATCCACAATAATAATGTTTCTGTCTTAACACAAAATAGGCAATCCAAAAGCAGACACTTTTTAAAAACAGCTTTTCAAATTTTAACATATTATCTTTTTGTTTTATCTACTATAAAAATCCACCCAAACAGGAAGAAATAGCAGCATTTATAGAAAGGTATGGACAGCAAAAAATACAATACATTTAACACACATATAGAAAACCCACATTTGCTAAACTTATCTCCAACTTGCACTGGGTCTTTTTTTTTATTTCTCATTCAATCAGTAAAGAAAACAACTGAGGAATAACTAATTTAGGCTTATCTAGACCAGGAAGTAACTGGGAGCTAAAGTGACTCATGATATGATGATACTTCAGGTTTATTTTATTTAACAAGTAGCTAGTTTCAGAATAAATAAATGTATAAAATGTATAAATAAATTTATAAAATGTAAAAGGACTTAATTGGAAATGAAAAATGGACTTTTTAATACCTTGACAGTTTCTGAAAATAATGCAAAAATACTTCAAACATTTTGGTGTCTATAATGTAAGAATGAAAGTTAATACTTTAATCAGTTTAACAAATTCTGTGAAATAATACAGTAGAACTAAATTAAATGTCAACTGTAAAGTAAGACTGAAATTAACGTTTATGGCCAGACAAGAAGCTTGGAAAGTTACTATCTATTCTTATTATAGCATTCTTCACATCAGATTAACTCAATCAACAGCCAGAATTATGAACTGCTGACGTCAATTTACGCTGCCAATTTTGAAGTCAAGGTGTACACTACTCTACTGAGGGAATCTGGAAACAACTGTGTTGTCCCTCAAGCATTCCACAAAATAAGACTGAATTTGTTCTTACTACTCTACAATAATGACATTTTCTTATTGGAATGTTGAAAGCAAGTATTTGGGAAAAATCTCATAGTCTACACAGGGAACTGCAAATGGCTACTGACCTTTCATTTGAGTCCTCATTGCTAAATGCACACTGTCAGATGCTAGACTGTCACTGCTATAGCCCAGAACACCATGAACAACCTTTTCTAAGCACGTTTTTCCAAGTTTTTTAAACACACAGTTGCACTGCAGCCCTACTGGGAGTCACAAATTACTTACTCAAGAAGATCTGGATTCAGCCCCTCGGAAATCATTTTGTTTCTTATTGCCATTACAGGAACACCCTGTGTAGCAGGAGGAAGAATAATATAAAACTACTGGACACAAACAGGTGAGATAAATAACACAGGTACTTTTAAACCACACTTTCATAGAAATTTATGCATGTCACTTGTCAAACAACAGCATGGAATGTTCATCTCAGTTCCCATCATAATGAACCTAGAAGCAAGAAATGATTGAGATTAAAAGCCTGTTTAAACCATCTTATATTTATGGCAAAACATCTAGAGCAAGTTGCAGGGAGAGAAAAATTAAGACTGGATAGATATACTTTCAATTTATGCACACAAAATTATGAAGCTGACATTATCTGAATGGGTAAGAACGTGGAGAAAGCACAAAGCACAAAGACAGCAGAGAAATTGTGCTAGGAAAGACTTGGGCATGCTGAAGGTATATCCAAGAGAGAGGAGAAAACCAGGGAAGTGCATCTGCTACCCCTCCAGAAGGATCTTGTAAGGCAGTGCTAAAAGCTGGAGAAGTCTAAAAAGCATGGAGAAAAAGGCAAACAGGACATGAGAACAGAAGCACAATTTAAAAGTGAATTCTCTGAATACTGCTTGAGCAGTCAGGCCTGAATCTTCTGCGACTTGTGGACAGATTTCAGCCAAATATGTACATGTTAAAAAAAATTCCCTCCATTCACTACAAGTCCTTCCACAGCTTCTGCACTTTATTTTATTCATCAACACCTAAACATCCTCTTATCTTGGATCACATATCCAAGACCCATGTCTTAGGAGATCCATTCCAACAAACTGCTCCTATGTTTCCACTATAGTTGCTCAAAGGCAACTTGTTGCTTTGCCATCTCCTGTTGGAAACCATCAGAAAGACCATCTGGATCACTCCATGCCAATACAGGATATGGGAAAAAAACCCAAACCAAAAGAGGATACAATATCTGATTCAAAAGGAACAAAGTTACTGGTGGTCTAAGAAATTCTAAATGAAAAGTGGGGCAAGGGCTAGTGTCTTTTGTCCAAAAGCAAGTAAAATAGTGCTACAATAAAGGGCAGGCATGACTAATGTTCCAGAGAAAGATGTGATTCCAGTGACATCTCCAAGGTAAGAACCACAATTAAGGATTGTGCATGAGCACTGTGGAACAGCACACACACAGGTACATAGCTGTAGCAATTTATCAGAAATGATGTCAAAAAAGGTCATTCCAGCAGCTGCAATGTAATACCTTGAAATAAAAGAATATCTCATCACTTCACAACTAATGTGCATTATACAGGTGAATATTTTGAATATTTATTTGAGTATTTCATGACGGTTTAAAAATTGAGTTATTCTAGTATAGATCTGGACACCAGGGATTGTGTGTCTACACACCATCTTGTACTAATGCACTAATTTTTCCCCTGCTTCACTGCTCTTAGGGTACTTTTCCCCACCTCAGAAGTCACTGATGAATTGTTTATCCATTAATTCAAACTACGTGAAAACAGAATTGAGTCAGATCAGGCAAGGCAGAATTCATATTTGATTTCAATCAAAGGGAATTTGGTATAGGACTTCTAAGAATGGGTTGTTTTTATGTTCACACTTGGTGTGCATTAAAATCTGTGAGAAAAAAATCCTCTCAGTACCCTCATATATCACAGATCCACAAAACTAATCTGAAGTTTAATCAAAATGCTCTTTTAGACTTCTTACCTGAAGGAAAACAATTAAGACTGTATCTTTATCTATTTATAATACAATCAGGCAAATACAATTACTTTACCTTTCATGCTTCCTAAATTTTAATCTGCAAATATGCTACTGCTTTTGTGTGATTTCTTGGAATATTGTTGTAAATTTTAAAAAGAAAGAATTTAGTATCCTCAATTGCACTCCACCAAATGAGTTTGTCACAATTTCATGGAAGAGCTACTTTTAGTTTAGAATGGTGCTCTTTTATACAACAAACATTGTGAGTAATAAATAATTTATCAGTTCAAACAAATCTTCACCTAGAAACTTAATTTGGGCAAATAAATGACACTAACTGAAATACTTGACCGGACAAGGAGACAAGTTTGGCAAATACAAAAACACACATTAATTTGTAGTATGTTAGTTTGACTTTCCTACCACACTGTTTACAACTGGCAGAAGAGTCACCAGGAACTGCCAGTACACAGGAGAAATGTGGAAAGTGAGATCTCACTCCTCTAGCAGTCATAAAAAAAATAAAAATTCAAAGTAATTAGACCATCCAGCACTTTCAAATCCACTTTGAAGTCTGGCATTAAATCAATACAGTAACATAGTGTTCTACTCTCTGCTACTATCCCACTCCTACGTTTTCCAAATGGTTTGTAATGAGCTACCCATAAAGTTCCAATTTGTGATTCAAGTGAAAAATTAGGTTTGGAACACCATTCAAGGGATGAAGCAGACCAATTGTAATAATTTCTCTGAAGACTGAGTGAAACCATGAAGTTAGTTTTCACATAAGCAACATTTTATTAATACTATGACACAGTCATACTTTCCAGAATTATAGTATGTATTTTAGAGGAAAATTTTCCCTGACAAATTGAAAATAAATTGAAATAAACTCTTTGTTTCCAATCTCATTTTTAAGTTTGTGGATGTGAAACGACCTCTTAAAAATATCACAAACAGTCTCCCATTCAACTTCTCATTTCTTCATTAGATTTCACACTTGTTAATATTGAGATTATAATAATTTATTTCCTATTTATCTGTAGCACAGACCACAGATAAAGATGTAAACAAAACCTGCATCATGAATAACAGGAAACTGGAGTGGAACCAGATAATGAAGTAATCCTTGTATCTCTATTTTGGTCCTTACAGAGATATCAAGTACTCCTGTTCTGGACTATACTTGCAAAGCTGTATTTAGTACCCTCCAGTAAAATCAGGCTGCAATCAGTCTGTACGCAGGGAATGACTCCAATTTGCCAGGACAACTCCACTTTCAGTGGCATCTTCTGTGCCTCCGGCTAATATCACTTTGCCTTTACACATTTCACACCTCACTTCACTTCACAAGTCTACCAGCAGAATTTTGTAGAAAGATCTTGCCAGAAGCTGTCTGAGGGAATATATTACATTAATTCAGTTATTAGAGAAGATGTGCTAGAATATTATGATATTAACCTACCTTAAAGATTACTGTTGCAATGTATGTTTTCAGACATTTAAGGTTCACTTACAGCTGTGTGGTGCATTCCACCAAAAAATAACATGCTAGCCAAAGAATGACATGAGAACTGACTTACCACTTGCACCATTTTGAGGTATCTGGCATATCTTGGATCCTTGGCCACAGTTGTGACATTTTCTGTTACCACCTCTGTTTTCTGCAATCCTTCTTCTTGTGTATTGTTCTGCTGAATGTGAAGAACAAACCCTTTAATGGTTAGGTGCACACACCACAGCCATGGAGAGATTCCAAACAATAAAACTGAGTACTTCAGGGTAAAGAGCAACTTTTCCTCATCAAAATTATTCTGATTCACACTCACAAAATTAGAGGTTTCCTAGATGTAAGAAATCACAAATCCAGCTCTTTTGCTGTTCACTGTTACAAGAGTGTCTTTCTACTTTTAGATACAATTTAAAGTTATTGAACAACACATAAAAAACCAGAAAGACCCTAATAACCCTGTTAAGTTGCATTTAATAAATATAACAGTATTAAATGCAAATGCTCTTTTAATAAAAAATATTTATAAGTATATCAATAAATCTCCCCCTGTAGTCCAATGCCTTTTTTCCTCAAAGTATTTGATTCCCTGACAAAGGTTTCATACATATCATGGAACTTCTAAATTGTACTTTTGAGTATAAATCATTACTCAAAGGACAATATAACGAAATCAAAGATTCCTTGAAAGTATTTAATTTAAATTAAATGAAAGATGACGAGAAGTTCTAGTAGTTTTAAAAGAACACAGAAAACTGTAATTTTTCTACAAAACTAACCACCAGAAAGTGTGAAATACATGAACTTTATATACTTAAATATACTTTATATACTTCCATATCTGAGAGGAGGAACATTTTAAGGAAAATGAACTCAAGGTGAGTCATTCTCTAATGTGGCTGGAACATGCAATGCTGTCCAGAGTCTCCCCTGCTGTAAATCAGAGTTACAATCTTTGACAGGCAGGCAAAAGCAGCAGAGTGCTCCAGCTACTGCTTTTCCACAGCAACTTCCACCAAATAAGAGAATGAGCAGAGATCAGAATTGAGGATTCCATGAGAAGAAACTGTAAGGGGAAACCAGGAGAACTCCATCTACAAAAGGGGCTGAAAGCCTCACTTAGTTAAGTGGTGATCATGGGATTCAAATGTCTGGGTTAAAAAATCAACAAACCACACACATTAAATTCCCCAAAATGACAAGAAGTTAGTTGCAGGGGTAGTATTTTAATGCTGATTGCTAGTAATAAGCTGGCATTTACTATAAGTGGAGGATAATATACAGAAAACCTTCAATGTAATAAACTCTTTAGAATTAAGCATGCTAGAAATTCCAATTTGAGCTAAAAGCTCACATTCTGAAGAAAGGAGAAAAGAGTTGCAATGATGTGATTTGAACTGGTATTTTCATTCATGACCGTCCCAGCACCCTGATGCAATTCCTGTTCATAATTTAGTGTGATTAAAGAAAAGGAAGGAGAAATTTAGCACTAGATTTGAGTTAGTTCTAATTATTTAAGTCACACAGTTAATAAAGGGTATAGCCTTTTTTGTTTTAAGTCACTTTTTAAAACAGTGCCAATAGAGAAAAGCCTACTCTTAGACTTTTACAGCTGATTGCTCACTTCCAATAGAATTGCTCCTTCTATCTACTGCAAATGACATTTAAAACTTGACCTGGAGAGCTCTGTTCCTCCAAGGTATGAGTTATGCCTCATTACTTACTCCAGGCTGAGGTGATCCAGCTGTCTGTGGATCTGCAGCAGCCTGTGCCACAGGACCATTTGTAACACTGTTCACATTTGCACTGGACACTTCAAATTTGACATCTTCTAGGCCAGGAATTGAGGATAACTGAATGCAAAAAACATCATCAAATAACCAATGAGCACTTCATAAGACTACATGTACAAAATCTGCAGCACCCTGCTTACCACTTACTATCCAGGTAGGATTTACATTAGTAAAATTGTAACTTTCTGCCCTTTGTTTTGGTATTTTGACTGGGGGGAAAAATCTTTCTATCCAGCTGCCTTCTACAATAAAAAATTTCACTGTTAACACAGGGCTGCAGAGCAGGAAAGGCTTCCACACCTTCCCAGCATTTTGCTACTGCATTTATCAACCACATGAGAGCCATGCAATCTCTGCTACTTCTCCTACAGCGAAAGAAATCATGGCAAGAACAGCTCTATCACCTAACAGATGGGAGACTGGTTACAAATTTTTGGATTTTCTACATCTTTCACTTTTTTAAAGGAAATTATGTGAAAGGATATTAAACACACCACAAATCTATTTGAAGGAAATTCTGTTTAACATGATTATGAAGAATTCTGCAAAAATTCTTCATCAATTCAGATCATTCCTAAACATTTTGAAATAAATAAGAGTTAGTAAGCTCTGTTTGTATTATTACACTATTTTTTTCCCCACAAAGATCTTAATGAATGCTTTCAAAATATTCCCCCCCTTGCTCCCAGAAAAGCCAGCTGAAATTGCCTCCACCATTATTGAAAGAAGAACTTGCTAAAATTTTATGGTGGGTGATTGATTGACTTTGGGATCTTGTTGGGGTTTTTTTTTCCTAGTAAATGATATACTGTATTTTCTATCTAAGACCACAGATTGTATCTTTTTGTCATTTCAGCTAAAGAAGATAAACTAATTTACATTAGCTTAGATCCAGTTCAGGTCACATTTCAATATCAAAAGGATTTCCAAGGCTTCTCCCTAGTTACTTATATCAGCTGAAGTCCTTAGAGTCCAGTAACATACAAAGATACTTTTGTTTTACAAAGGGGGGAAGAATTTCCTTATTACTGTTTGTATGGCACAAAAGTGTTCCTTTCCTGTTACACATGCTTAACAAACTCAAATTTTCCACTAGGTATTGTTGTTTCCTTTCTTCTGTATCAACTACCTATTCAAATGTTACACAGTATAAGTAGTAAGACATTAACTAGGGAAGAGAGTTAAAGAATTTTTGGTATCAGGATTTGATATCAGGATTTTGACATCAGACTCCTTCAAATCATTATGAAAACTTATTGGCTCAATTCAGACTCTAGAAAGGAAGCTAGTTCACATAATCTAGGAGGCTGTCACTCTTAGAAGATGAAGTCTCTATCCATACAAACCTTTGCATCCAGAATATTGAGCGTGGTTTCAATTTGTTGGATACGGAGAGACAGTGCTGACAATTTCTACAACAGAAAACAATTAGGATGTGAAAACACTCTCCTGTGCACTTGGACATATAAAAGAGTTTGCAGCTAGTTTAAAAAAATCACTTTTTTTAGCTTCTCCCTGCTGAAGGCAGAGTGCAGTGTAAATGAGATTATCACATTATGAAATGAATGAAGCAATGACAACCCTTTGTAGAGCAGTAGCTACAGCGGTACAAATTTTAAATAATTTTACTCTGCAGTTGGTTTTCCCCTATAATGACAGAAATGAAGACAGACTATTTACAAAAGAAAGCCAAAGTAAATAGGGTATTACTTTGGGCAACTGGAGAATAATGGTAGACACATTGTACTCTCCCAGTTACTGAAAGATCTTTCTTCAAAGCTTTTTCCAAATGTGGAAGATGAAAAGAGATGATGTGTGTGTATGTAACTGCCCAAATACAAAGAGAAAATCTGATAATTAATACAGCAGGTGATTCAATAGTCCTATACAGCCAAAATCCACAATCAATCAGAACTAACCAGACACTTTATATGCTCCAGGTGCACCTCAATCAAATTTTGACTTTTTTTTTTTTTTAAATACAACTTAAGTTTTTCTAAATTACTCCATAAGAACTGCCAGTCTTTTAACTAATCACTACCATACTCCACCAGACCTGTCCAAGTGAAGTTGGCTAGAGTGCTGGCTGGCAGATACGTACCATTCTGACAGCTTTCTGGCACCTTGGCAAGATTCTGCCTGGCTCTGAAGCAGAACTTTAACACCCTAAGAAAATGGCAGTTCTGCCAATATGCTAGAAAAAGCAGGAGACTGACAGGAGTTAGTCTTTTTGGATAGAGCACTGACTTGTTTACAGATGGTCCTTTGTTCACGAAGAGGAGTCAGCTCCTATTGGAAGGAACTATGTGTTCTACATTTAACTGGATAAGGGGGAGGAAAGATGTACAAAAGACAATTATGCAATTTTATGGGTCTATTTGACTAGACAAGAGCCAGGAAATTTAGAGTTAAGGATGGTGTCAGCTCTGATTTTGAGTTTCTTGGCTTCTGTTGACTTACACTGCGACCTTTCACATTAAAAACACTTCTGTACTTCATGAATACGAAAAACTTCTCAAGGAGTATATAAAGCAACTATTTGAGTCTCTTGAGTAACAGCACATTTTGGTTAACTAATAACTGTTTTATTAGGCAGACTTCACAGTGCTGCTGTGTGCTCAAGGTGGCTTTAAATATACGTGTTCTGATTTCCAGAGGGCCCGTGGAAGAGGGAATTCTGGTATCAGTTGACAACTGACTCTTGGACAACTGACAACAGCATCATCAGGCGGTCACACTGTCCCACCTATCAAGTTACAAGAAGTTCAAAAACCTAGGAAAAATGACTTTTTTTCCTCTAAAGCTCCATATATTCTTGTAATATCCAAATCTTATACTTGTCACGCGTCTGGCTCTAAACTTCACCAACAAATAACAGAATTTCTCAGATTACATGGCTTAGGCTAATTGGATTTGACTGCTGCTCTGGCTCAGCTGGCTAGAGCTGTATGGCATTCTTTGTTGAATAAACTAATGAAAAAGTACAAAAAACCTCTAAAGACAAAAAGGTTACCCTCAAAGCCACGTTAGAAAACACCCTTTTTACAAGGAGGACTCTTGTCCTGCTCAGTGGACAATTCTGATCTTCTTGGTCTGGTGTATATCCATTGATTCTAAAGTCACATAAACTTACTAATCCCAAATATTTTTATTTTTCTCTCTTTTTGCAGGAAACTGAAGTTAAAGGCTTCATGTTCTATACTAATCACTTGCCAAAAATGTCCTTTTTCCAACAAAAAAACTATTTGCATTCAGTAATTTGCATTTGCTTAGCGTACAACTCTCTTAAATTAAAGGTGATAAAATCTGAAAGCAAGTCTTGATGGACCACAAAAACATGGCATCCTTCTTTCATAACAACATCAGAGCCAGAGATGAAGCTGCTCAGAATAAATTCCCTGTATCAAGAAGTTCAAAGACTGTTAGAAATGCAAAAGTTTAAGAAAACAGGAGAGTGTGGCACAATCAGGAGTTCATGTGGATCCCTTAGGGAAAAATTCTGTCTTGAGCACTTACTAAAGAGAAACCTTCAACAGAAAGCAGACTACATTTTTGGTTTAGGCTACCAGTATTACTGCATCAAAAACGTTTAAATGAATGGTTCCCATTTTTTGAATTTCTTTTAATTGTATCAAGGGCCAGCTGGGAAAATAATAAACATACCTCTTCACAAACAGTAGAAAAGCGGTTGAGAAACTGCACTGTGTGAACCACAAACTGGTTTAGAAATGCTACAGTTCTTTTCTGCTGAATAGCAGGAACCTGCATTAAAAAAGGTAAGGAAATTAGGTTACACATCAATATCAAGTTTCACATTTGAATTGAAGTATCTGTTCAAATGCACATTTTTTAGAAGAAATGATTTGGAAATCTGTCTTAAGTGTGCCTGCTATGAATGCATACATACATACACCATTTTCTAATACACATATGCATTCATACAAAACCTTTGCCACTAAAAGCCTACTAGCATGACAGCTGAGAATTTACAGGACACATAGAAAAGGCAACAAGACCCAAGAAATGAAGGATTGTTATCTTGAAGAAAACACCTCCAGATGAAATTGTGAATATTCCTGAAAATCAGAAGGAAAAACAAACTTGGCCAGCCATACTAATACTCATTTACAACTAATGCCATGATGAAAACTGAAGTGTAGTGATGTTTCTGTCTGAGTATTTGAACACCCAGACTATCCTAAAATGACCAAAAGTTATCCTCCAAATCAGTTTTGATGCTCACATCCTTTCCAGACTAAAATGTAGAATGTTATGTTAGCCAAAAAGAATAGTAGTCATATTGTAACACAGAGTTGGGATTTTTATTTAAACCATTACAGAAGACGGGATTCAGGAATTTGCACACAAAAGTTTATGTATAAAATTTTAGTTTATGTATAAAAATTTAGTGCCAATGTTAATAACCTTGGACAACTGGTTTAAGTTTTAACATTCCCAATGGAAATCAGCCTATGAAATTGTCATTGATTTATATGGAAGATTTACAAGGAATATTATTGGCAGCCAAGATTCTGCTGCACTTTTTTGGTGAATACAGCGACCCTCTGGTCTTCACCTCTTCTTTAGCCGCTGATTTATCGGTGCATTCAATACACAATGGCCATCTTAAAATATCCTGACTTTTTGTGAGACTTTTGTTGCCACTATCTCGAGCCTTCATCCTGTGCACTGTACAACAGCATCTGCTGAAGTTCAGTTCTGTGGTTCCAAAATTTGCCAAGCAGAAATTTGCATTTGCTTATGACTTCAGCAGAAATCTGTGGGGTGGCACAGAGCACGGAAGACTCACTGGGTGAACTCGAACTGTCCTGTCTTTGCGCTGCCTTTTGAGGAAACTAAGTTTAAAAAGAAAGTTTCTGCAACATTTAAAGAAACGAACACACAGCTTTGCACAGGATTTGCCTCGCAGATCGATGTCTGAGACGGCTTAGTCTTTAAATACGAAGTTATCGCAGAACTTGCAGGAGAACAGCTGGAGACAGAGGCAAGGACCAGAGGCCGCTCGTCCCCGGTGCGAGGGCGGCACCGCCCCCGCACGGGGAGCTCCCCTCGCCCGCTGCCAGCGGGCCGGGCCGGGCCGGGGGACGCGGGGCTCGCCCAGCACCAGGGCCAGCGCAGCCGGGCAGCAGCAGCGGCAGCCGCGGAGCGCCGGGCGAGCGCAGCCCGTACCTTGGTGAGGTCAATGCCGGAGCCCACGATGGGCAGCCCGTCCTCGTCCATGCTGCTGGGCCGAGCCGGGCCGGGCCGGGTGCGGCCCCGCTCCGCAGCTCGGCCGCGCTCCTCAGCCTCGGCCCGGAAACAAACGCCGAGCGCCGCGGGGCGGGGCGTGCCCGCTGCCCGCGCTTCCTCCTGGGAAACGCAGTCCCGGAACGGAGCCCTGTGCCCCGGTATAAACCCCGGCGATAAACCCCGGAGCTCCTGGGCTGCCTTCTTTGGCACCCGCTTTTTTGCATTTTTTTTTTGCATTTTGCGATGCAAGTGTTGCCAGCCGCTGAGGGGCCCGGCCATGCCCCTCACTGCCCCACACTGACACGCAGCCCTCCACAGGCCTCAGGAAAGGGCCCTGCATGGTGGTGTTTGGGAAGTGTCGTCCCCTGCAGTAAAATGTCAAGGAAATAATGAGAAAAGCCAGTGAAGGAACTATCCCTGTGCTCACACGCATAATTTGGGTGGGGAAGTGCCACACTTTGGATGTGGGGAGTCAAAATTAGGAGCGCTGAATGCCTCTGGGTTCTTCCAAAATAGACAAATTTGGGGTGATCTGGAGTCCTTGTTTACATCAGTAAATCCAAAGAGACTGTAGTGGATTTCCATATTAGTGGAAATTCTTCATGGTTACATCTAAATACTGCTGCATTTAATGAACCCTCCTAAATTCAGGCCAGTTAAGAAACCGTCTCAGTCTGAGGATGTCAGGTGGAAACTTCTTTTGTGATGAGATGAATAAAGACTCACTAATTACTGCAATACTTTGAAGACTAGATCCTAAATGTAATATACTAATTTTGGTTTAAAATTTACCAAAATTCTCATTTTACTTCCAAATCATCAGTTTGCCAAAACATTCTACAAATCCATATACAGAATCAATGGTAGCTTACTCCAGTTACCATAAAATTGTCAATTATTAACTGAAACAGCTTTTTTGGCTTTATTACTTTCACAATGTATTTATGACTAACCTGCTGTCATATGCACATCATTATTACATTATTACAAGATAGTATAGCAAAATTTTTCTTGTCCATGCTAATTGAATTATTGAACATCTTCTGATTCATACTCAGCTTTGGAGCACTGATGTTGTTGGCTCAATTTCTCACCTCTCCAAAAGGATGCACTGCAGACTAACCTACAAAATTCAGTGGGTTTAGCTTTCAATCCATAGCTTACAGGAATTGTTCAAATTTGTGTCGGGCAATAGAGCTGTTTATTTAATTAAGAGTTATTTTGCACTAACTTGAGTTATTTGTTTATAATTACCTTAAAATTCCAACTAAATATATTCGAGAAGAATTAATCTTGTTTATCATTAAGTGTCTATAATAAATGTTTTCCAGGCAATGGCACTTAAAATTAATGTAAATGCATAAGATCTCGATCTTATCTGAATGTCTTGGTCTGGATAAGAAATCTCCCAAGAATATGCTATTTTATGAACTTTCTGGTACTTCCTGCTTTTAATTTGCCCAAAAATACTACATAGAAAAGTGCAACACAGCACTTTTTCCTCCCAGCTGGAGTTAGGAAATGCAGGGTATGAAAAGTGAAAAACAGAAAGGAGGAAGTGATCCAAATTTTCCAAAACCTCTTAAAAAAGTTTAAATTGAACTATCTTTTTAGCTGTAAATATAAATGCCTGAACTTCCAAGGAGAGGATTTATAAAAAATATAATTATAAATTGAGTGATAACATCCAGGTACAATTTGAAAATGTATTTTTTTACCAGCACCCATGCTGGATGATAAATGTCAGACTGAAGAATAAGTGCTGTACAGGATGTGACTGCTGGCAGTTTATACCCTATGCATGTGTACATAATATATTGCCATTTAAAGGCCCTGTTCTGTAGCTCCACCTTCCAGTGAAGGAAAAGAGATTAAAGAGTGTTTAAGAGTTACCAAAATGAAGTTTGGTTGAACATTAGTATTTTGAAGATGTCAGCTTTCCAGATGCTGAGGCTAGCTTGGAGTGGAAAAGCTGTGTGTACAGAAAACTGATCAGAGCTCTATCTTCATCATTGGTAAAAAATACCTGACTTGTGATTAGTGTACATAGAAAAGTAAAAGCAAAAATATGGGTTTCAAAGCATTGAAACTGATCTGCTCCATATATTGCACAGAATCAGAGCCTCAGATCAACAGCAAAACAAAACTGCACAAGCTGAGAAAAATTGGCAAGTGCTACTGAAGCTTACAATGTTCATATGCATCTTTTGTGCTTATATTCTGTTACAGGTCCCAGGACACCACATTCAGGTTAGAATCAGCCCAGAACTCAAAAAACTCTACAACTGAGAGAGACAAGTTAAACAGAAACAAAAAGCTGATCCAAAAAAATTTCCAGACACGGTGTCACCTGATCCTCCACAAGGGGCAATAGTTGTTTTTAATAAGGTGGCCCAATGAACAGCTGAAAAGATCAGTGTGGATTAACATTTGTTTGATTTCCCATGGAGTCTTCTAAATCCATGCTTACAAAGGGTATTCTAGTAAAATTTTCTCTATGAAACCAATATTGCATCAATGATTTTTCTCTATGGTGAATTTAAGCAATGTCCCCTCCAATCTCAATAATCTAAGTGTGCCAGAATTTGTACAATCCTTGCAAACAGTTCAGAAAATTATCAACCCTTCACAGTTAAATAGACTGAGAAATACAAATGTTAGGTATTATGTAGGTTTCTTAAAAAAAAAAAAAAGAAAATGGAAACTAAATGATAAATGTTTTTCAGTTCTCTGAAAATGGTTTGTCACGTTTCAGTTTTCCAAGTACTGTGCTGAGGCAACATGAGAGGATTAACTAATTATTTTGTTCTGTACAAAAGAGCATGGAGAACATGCAAAAGACATTAGCTGCTTTCTTATTTATTTATTAATTTAAATATCCATAGTACTTCTTTCCAGTTTAAAATGAAGAGCCTTGAACTTGGCAAGATCATTCCTGGGTAAACAGTTTTAAGTAGTCCTTAAAAACAGAGTATGAAAAGCAAACATCCTGGTTTCTGAATTAACTACAGAACAAAAGAATTTCTGTTCTTTGGTCTCCTGGGTCTTAAGCAATTCTAAACCCAAAAAGTCTGACTCAAGAGTGCACCTGCACATACCCTTGCATATTGCCCTTGTTTATATGGGTCCTGAGTATAGTGGATATATTCTGCACAGACAGGAGCTGTGTGAAGTTTGCTCTGAGGACAGAAAATCTCACATCTGTTTCAATTCCATTACACACCAGAAGGATAACAGTGCCTCAGGCCAATCCTTCCTCCCAGAACCACAAAGAGTTTTAGCTACAAGTGAAGTAAACTTCCCCTTAAGGCTGCTATCTGCTCAGACAATGGATACAAGATAAACAGAGCACTGTTACCTTGCAATACCTGCTTATTTTACAGTTTAGGCACACACCAGTCCTCTGGAACTTATAAGGAATTTCATATTTGTTTTAGGTAAATTTTGGTGCCAGCTGGAAAGCAAAAGTTCTCAAGGATAAAGGATTATGAGAAATATAATTTGGTCTTAGATTTCAAAAGGTGACTGTAATTTCACTTATTGATGTCCTACTTCTGGTTTTATGTGTCCCACATAAATAGGAACAATCAAATGGATATTTTAAAATCTAACTACAACTAATGAGGAGGGCTACAATGCTGTAAGGAGCTGTTGCACTAGTGAAACATCCTGACATCCCTTCACTTGCGAAAGTATGCAAAAAAGATACTTAAGACAGGAGTTGTCTTCTTCTTTTACTTCTGTTCTGGGTCTTGTGTGGGAATGACAGGAAAAATATGTTTCTAGAAAGCAGAATGCCTTTGATTTTCCTGTAAAGACTGGAAGTAAAAGGCTGTAAGCAGAAAAAAAACCCTCACTATCCTGTTTGACAGGCCTAAAGTAAATCCCTCTGTTGTCTTTAGAGAATAAAACTGCTTCAAATTATCATTCTGATTTTACCATTAGCTTCTTCACTGGTAGTGGTAACTAGTTTATTCAAAAACATCCAGGAACAACATTTTATCACGGTACACTTCTGCTTTTTTTTTTCTTATGAGATAGTCATGGTTGGCAAAGTTGATATAGAGAGGTGTTCTTTCTGCAGGTACTCTGCACAATATCAGGTATTTGAGCTCTATTAACTGAGTGAGATTATCAGAATGACATGCTGGGACACAAAATCTCTTTAAAACTCCTGAAAAAAAATTCACACCAAATGCCATGTTTAAAAAGTACATTTTATTCGAATAGAAATAACCAAGATGTATGATAACCAATTTTTCAAAAGCTCTTGTACTTGCAAGCTAAAAATCAAACAAAAGTGATTTATATCTTGCTTTCTTCCTTCTGTTGTCCAAGTGAAAACCATCACAAAGAGTAAATTTCTTCATTTTACTAGAAAAAAGACATTATGCTGTCAAGCTTCATGTTGAAGGCAAATGCTTATTTTACATTTCAGTAACCCAGAAGAAAATTTTATGGTCTCCTCCAACTGCACATAATGGAAGAGTTCTGTGCCACGTCAAACCAGATCCTACAGCTGCAGTTCCAGTAAGAATGGGCTGTAAAAAACAAAGAGAGAGATAGAAAAATATCAATTCAACTTTCCTTATTAATGATTGCTAAACTGCAGATACCAAGTTGCATAGACAAATACCACAGATTAAATACTCCTTAACAAATGTAGTTAAAATACAACAGAAATTCTACTGAAAAATGTGAATCCCTGCTACATAGTTCCAGTAGCTGCTTACTTAAGTAATACAGCAAAATATTCCATAATAACAAATAGTTTCAACTCTTTACATTAGCATAAACATCATTATTATAAAGGCATGATATCAAACTTAGAAACCTTTTAAAATGAAATTACTTCTGTTATTTCAATGTATTCATAACCAGTATGTTTGGAAGTAATATTTTTACTGTAAGCATTGCAAATATATACTGACTCCAGCAAAACCAAAATATTTCCTATGCTTTGCATTTTCATTAATGATTTAAAATATAATTATAAAATTATATATAAAAATATACCACTAGGTGTTTTTAGCCTCCTAAGAACTAGAAATATTGCCAGATTAATTAAATATCAGGTTAAAGG